GTCAAATGTTGTTAGGTAAATGATGTGTAAGAAAGAAAATCATAGAAATGAAAATTTTGAAATTAAAAAAAAAACCTTAGAACTTGAAGAGGCAGCAACAGACCCTCCAACCATAGTATGTTGACTAACTTCAATGAATATACGAAGCCTATATCCTTGAAGCATTGAAAGAAGTCGGATCAGAATAAAATATAAAAAACATATAAGAATTGAATAAATCTGAAAATATAGAAAAAATTAATAAGAAATAAGTCAATACCAACATTCTTTACTGATTAATGAAGTGGAATAAATCGATACATAAAATAGTCAACTTACTTTAAAAAGGGACCAAAACGTTACAAGAACCTAAAAGAAGGGATAACATCTGTTATATGTGCTTAAATATTAATATCATTCCTGCAAGTTAGATTAAATGAAAATATTGTTAAAAATTAATTATAGAAACAAAAATGTTGAAACTATAAATATTTCACCTTTCAATGTCATTGGACTGGTTTTGTATTTTGGGTGGTGCTCCTAATGTCAGATGGCTTACCATTGAAGTTGCCTTCTATGTCGATCACTCTAACAAAACTTGAATTATTATTTAGATGGAGGGACGATAATTGTATTAAAAAAATAAATGGGAGGAGATGTAATACCATGTTCTTCAAAATAACATACGCTTCATTGGATAACTCTGAGATTCCTGCCAAAAAGAAATATTAAGAAAGTTTAGTGTCACTATCATCATGTAACTTAGTTCCTCTAATAAAAATATATCTGTGAAAACACATGAAGTTAGTTTTCGGTCGTCACACACTGAAATTAATTTGGAGGAATTGTTATCGTTATGATTTGCATAGAAGTTGGTAAATAATGAAAATACTTCTTATAAATTCTCAAAAATAAATCGTCATCTTTCTTCCTCCAATAGCGAAAGTACTCTGAAAAAAAATAATACAGCAGGCCCCTCGAATAAAAGGAATAAACTTACAATTCAAATGAACATTATTAATATGTATATTATTATGTTTACAACAACAGGTTCTTTCTTGCCTTCTAAAATTAGGGAAAAAGAATACACTTATAATTTACTTTTCATTTTTGGTTTGTTTTTATATGTACTGGAACAAATAGACCTTACAAAATTAGCAACATTGTGAAAAAAAAATAAGGAAAAAAGAAAAAGAAAATTATTTATGTCAAATTAGTTATTGAAATTATGCGAATATCGAAACTTTTTCACGAAGACATTATGCTTCTTCTAATAATATTTATTCAAACTATATAAGTCTACTGAATAGCATATAAGCATAACTAACATTGTATATCTCGCCTTTTAAGGTCTTGATTAAACTTTTGTGTATTTTTAAGTAAAAGTCATATCAGAGGTAAGTTTATAACCATTTGATAACTAAATAGCGAAAACAGTTTATACAAAACTCACCCATTGTTTATAACCACTTCATAACTAAACAGTAAAAACAGTTTATACAAAACTCACCCATTGTTTATAAGAATCAGGATAAAGTTAAGCACCAGATGAAAATTGAAAAATAATAGATGCCTCCTTTATTGGATAACTCTGAGATTCCTGCCAAAAAGAAATATTAAGAAAATTTAGTGTTTAAAATGATGGAATTGCGGAAAGGAATGGAATCACTGATTCCATCAAAATTGAAAACTGTTTGTTTTGTATGGTGGCAGCAAATACTAATCTCTTAAATTGTTGTTGCTCTTATGCTAAAGTAGATAAGACAAAGACATCCCATTCGTGAATGAGTGAAAAGAATAGTAGACATATCACCATGATCAGCTAATTATAAAAAATTCGTATAAATACATATGATGCATGTTTTCTAGTGATAAACATCAAGGCAAAATGGTAATAGAAAAAGGTTAAATTGTCATAATTTTCAATAGTTGAATCAAGACAAATTAGGATGCTATAAAGAGTGTTTTGATGCTAATTTATTGTTCTTTTTTTCGAGAATTTATCCTGGTAGCAGGAATTGGAGTGTAAAAAGTATAAAAGGGCATTTTTGGTATAATAATGATTGTTTGCTGAAAAATACAGGTGAATAAGGTTTGAAATGGTTCACTCATCATTTATAAAAGCTTGAAAGTTTGTAATCTTGTAATATTTAATTTCAAACATCAATTTCATTAGCCATTAACATAAAAAAAATGATAAATCATGTTTAATACTCATAGAATTCGAAATGGGTACGTTATTCTTAACTTCACATTGTTGTATTTTTATGTATTACATAAGTCTCAAAAGCAACTAAACCCATTAAACATTAAACAATTAAAAAAACCAAGCAATAATCAATTTTTTACCAGAAAAGTATTTGATCAGACACAAGAAGTGTAATTTTTATATACCTGTGCATTCATGTTAGCTCCATCCATGTAAACTTCACCTCCATTGTCATGAATAATCTTGCAAATCTCATCAATACCCTCCTCATAAACTCCGTGAGTAGAAGGATAGGTAACCTAAAAAACAGAGAATTTACTTTAGTTATTAATCTTTTTCTTTTTATTATCTATTTTTATGTTTTGATAAAAAAAATTGGTTACCATATGAGCAGATAGATACTCCTTGTTTGCCTCAGCAGCCTTGCGTACCTCTTCAATATTGATATTACCTTTGGAGTCAGTTCCCACAGTAATGATTTTCATTCCACACATAGCAGCACTTGCAGGATTTGTTCCATGTGCAGACACATGGATGATACACACATTACGATGATGATCTCCTCTCGCCTATAGTTGACCAAAGTCAATGACTTTGACTTTGACTTTATATATATATATGATTAAACTAAAACCGATATAAAAAGGGTATAATAATTTAGCAATTTAGCATACCATATGATAAGC